AAAAACATCCTGTGTCTACATACTGCAAGAGTAAATATTAAGATTACAATATTTGCAAAGTGATCTATAAATTCAATGCAATTGCTATCAAATTTTCAATGGCCTTTTTTGAAAAAAAGAAATGGAAATGACTATTCTCAAATTCATATGGAATGCCAAGGGTATCTGAATAGCCAAGACAATATTGAAAAAAAACATGGAAAACTCAGATGTCCTAACTTCAAAACTAACTAAAATGGAACAATATAACCAAAACAGTGTTATTCTGACCTAAGGATGGCAAACAGACCAAAGGAATAGAATTGAGAGTTCAGAAATAAACCCAAACAGCTTTGTTTGGCCAACTGAATCTTAACAAGGATGCCAATACCAGTCTATAAAGAACATGGTCTCCCCAACAGGAGGTGCTGTGAGAAGCTGGTGACTACATGCAAAAGAGTAGAGTTGGACCCCTGCTTTACTCCATACACAAAATGTAACTCAAAATGGATCAATGACATAAATGGTAAGAGCTAAAGGGATGGAGGAGAAGGGGACAACAGAAGATGAGATGGCTGGATGGCATCACTGACTCGACGGACATGAGTCTGAGTAAACTCTGGGAGTTGGTGATGGACAGGGAGGCCTGGTTCATGGGGTCACAGAGAGTCAGACACAACTGAGCGATTGAACTGAACTGAACTGAAAGCTCTAAAACTATTAGAAGAAAACAAAGGTGTAAATCTTCGTGACTTCAAATTAGGTAACAGATTCTTAGACTTGATGCCACAAGCACAGGAACAGAAGAAAAAATAGGTAAATGGGACTTTATCAAAATTTAAAACTTTTGTGTGTCAAATAACATTATCAAGAAAGTAAAGAAATTCTACAAAATGGGAGAAAATATTTGCAAATCATACATCAGATAAAAGTTCTGTATTCAGAATATATAAAACAAGAATTCTTACAACTCAAAAATAAAAAGACAAATAGATCAACTGAAAAACAGGACAAGGACTTGAAAGGCCTTCTCTAAAGAAGATATACAAATGGACAATAAGCACATGAAAAGATGTTCAACATCGTTAGTCATTGAGGAAATGCAAGTTAAAACCACAATGAGATTCCACTTCACAATAGTTAACAATTAAAAATGGAAAGTAAGAAGTGCTGGCAAGGATATGGAAAAACTGGAACCCTTCTATACTGCTGGTAGGCATGTGAAAAGTACATAATGTACAGCCACTGTGGACAACAGTTTGAGGGTTCCTCAAAAGGTTAAAACATAGAATTACCATCAGTAAATCAGTGAAAGTTGCTCAGTCATGTCCAACTCCTTGCGATCCTGTGGACTGTCGCCTGCCAGGCTCCTCTGTCCATGGAATTCAATTACCCTATGACACACCAATTTCACTCCTAGGTATACACCCAAAGTTGGAAAAGTCTGGGTATAAATAGAAGGAAGAATGGTAGCTGAGGATAAAAAAAGAAAGAAATGGTTGTGCAAGGAGGAAAATACATATTACACTGCTGCTGCTGCTGCTAAGTTGCTTCAGTCATGTCCGACTCTGTGCGACCCCACAGACGGCAGCCCACCAGGCTCCTCTGTCCATGGGATTCTCCAGGCAAGAGTACTAGAGTGGGTTGCCATTGCCTTCTCCCAGTATTACACTGGTCTCTTCTAAAAGAGTCCCAGAGCAAGATGATACTGTCTGTTAGCTCAAAAATACCAGATGTCTGAAATTGCAATGAACTGCTGCTTTCAGAAACTGACAAAGTTGGATGGAAGCCTAAAAACTTAAGTGGCATGGCTCTGGGAGATACTTTAGTCTTACAGTATAATGATGAGCTGGACTAATTATTCAAGCCTTGTGAGGGTCTCTACTAATGTGTCACTACTGACTCTTAACATTTCAGGTTATATTTACCCGTCACCCTGCACTGTGATGTGACACTAACCTTGTTAAGATTCAACTATACCATGTCTTGTGGTAATACTAATGTTGATAAGCACATGATGAGAAATGCTGGACTGGATGAAGCACAAGTTCACTGGAAGAATCAAGATTGTCGGGAGAAATATCAATAACCTCAGATATGCAAACGATACCACAGTTATGGCAGAAAGCAAAGAAGAACTAAAGAGCCTCTTGATGAAAGTGCAAGAGAAGAGTAAAAAAGCTGGCTTAAAACAATATTCAGAAACCTAAGATCATGGCATCTGGTACCATCACTTCATGGCAATTAGATGGCGAAACAATGGAAACAGTGACAGACTTTCTTATCACTGCAGATGGTGACTGCAGCCATGAAATAAAGACGCTTGCTCCTTGGAAGCAAAGCCATGACCAACCTAGATAGCATATTAAAAAGCAGAGACGTTACTTTCCCAACAAAGGTCCGTCTAGTCAAGGCTATGGTTTTTCCAGTGGTCATGTATGGATATAAGAGTTGGGATTATAAAGAAAGCTGAGTGCTAAAGAACTGTTGTTTTTGGACTGTGGTGTTGGAGAAGACTTTTGAAAGTCTCTTGGACTGCAAGAAGATCCAACCAGTCCATCCTAAAGGAAATCAGTCCTGAATATTCATTGGAAGGACTGATGCTGAAGCTCAAACTCCAATACTTTGGCCACCTGATGCAAAGAACTGACTAATTTGAAAAGACCCTGATGGTGGGAAAGATTGAAGGTGGGAGAAGGGGATGACAGAGGATGAGATGGTTGGATGGCATCACCAACTCAATGGACATGAGTTTGAGTAAACTCTGGGAGTTGGTGATGGACAGGGAGGCCTGGCGTGCTGCAGTCCATAGGGTCACAAAGAGTTGGACACGACTGAGCATCTGAAATGAACTGATTAGCAAATATACTGGGAAGCTGGGTTAAAGCCTCCTCAGGATGTATAATACTGATGGAAAAATAACTGCCCTGAGGAAGAACAGGATTAGCAAACCATCAGCTAACTCCTATGCTAAAGAGTTTTGTACAAGTTTATTTTAAGGTACAAACGTAATCTTATCAGAATGGGCTGCCATTCCCTTCTTCGGGGATCTCACAACCCAGGGATCAAACGTAGGTCTCCTGCATTGTGGGCAGATTCTTTACCATCTGAGCCACCAGGGAAGCCCAATAAATGAAGAAGGGACTAGTAATTAGTATAGAAGTTTGAGAATATAAGTAAGACTTTTTAGAGCACATCAGTTTTTTTAGTCTACCCCTACCCCCAAACTGAGCCCTCCAAAAGTTAGGCATACTCACAATGTTACCACCAGGCTCATAGAAATGCAGTAAAAGTGATACTACATGGATTTTAAAGCTAAGGTATACCAGGCAACACATTTTCCACCTGGCTCTCAGTCTCTTGGAACGCTCAAGCACTGACCCCAGCCACCTTGCTTGAGGAAGCCTAAACTAGCTCATGTGAAAAGACCACATGAAGATGCCCAAATGGAGAGGAACAGGAGCCCACTGTCCAACTTCCTGACAGTGGATATCATAAATGCTCACTGTATGTCACTAAGTTTTAGGGCAATTTATTACACACCCATCAATAACTGAACAGGGCTCAAGTAATTTACAACCTAGAGGGAGAGACAAATAAAGATACAAACAACTAACAAAAAGCAGGATGTGATCATCACTATGCAGAATGTAAACAGAAGGCCTTGAGAGAGGACCATAAAAAATAAGTTTAGCTAAGCATGGCTCAGCTGGTAAAGAATCTGCCTGCAATGCAGGAGACCTGGGATCGATCCTTGGGTTGGGAAGATCCCTTGGAGAAGGGAAAGGCTACCCATCCCAGTATTTTGGCCTGGAGAATTCCATGGACTGTACAGTCCATGGGGTCACAAAGAGTTGGACACAACTAAATCACTTTCACTTTCTTTCAAGGGATAGAACAGAGGGGGAAAAATGAGAAAGGCTTCACAGAAGTGATCTTCAAGCTATGGCCTAAAAGACACACAGAACTTTGCAGGAAAACAACAGCAGTAAGAAGGAAGGTGCAGGAGAAACTTGGTAACAAAGTGGCATATCATATGGAATTCTTCAGAGACAGAAACTGAACTTCTGGTTTTTCTGGTTTACACATTGTCTAATATTGAAACAGTATCAAACTGTCTGAAGGACACTGCAGGAAATGTTACTCTGAAATGAAACAAGGTGGAGTTCTAAAGATTGACCTTAATCATGAGAAATTATTAGATTTCTTGCTGTTTAACCTTTATGCAAAGGGCTAACTCTGACCCCTAAGAAATGAAAGCCACTTATCAATGCTTCCTTTGATGTACTGGCCAAGGCAAAACCCAGTACCTCGCTTGCTCACTGTCCCAGGCCCAGTATCAGCTTAATGACAGCAATTCTCCACACTCAGCATTCTTTGGAGTTGTAGGGGTGATTTTCAGGGAGGCACTGATCTTGAACCTAAATGAAAAGAGCCAGCGCCTAATAACAGCCATAAAAAGCTGAGAAAATTAATAAGCTGCTTTAATCACTGAAATTTACCCTGACTTTTCTGATAAGGGCCTAAAGATTATATCTACAGGCAACAGGCCGACAAGCCAGGAAATAATCACTACTTACCAAACCAAATCAAAGCACTGAGCCCTTCAAGCTGCTCGACAAGTAGAAGCACGCAGTCTCTCTGAGCTGCCTGCTGGTGGTCTTTTTAGCAAACTCACCTTCGACGTGGGATCCCTCTCTCTAAACCAGTGCCTGCGTGCTCAGTCGCTTCAGTTGTATCCAACTCTTTGTGACTCTATGCACTGTAGCCCACCAGGCTCCTCTGTCCATGGGATTCTCCAGGCAAGAATACTGGAGTGGGTTGTATGCCCTCCTCCATGGGATCTTCTCCATCCAGAGATCGAATCCACTTCAAACCTGCATATCCTGTGTCTCCTGCACTGCAGAATTCTTTACTTGCTGAACCACTGGAGAAGCCCCACTAAATCAGACGTCCTCTTAAGACGATCAGGAAGGCAGTCCTTAAAAACCCTGATACTTTAAAACTGCTGTTCTCCTCACCTCATAAAACTTTTTTAAGGAGCCCACCAGGCACAGCTTCAGGCTATCCACAATCTCCTGATGAGGCATCTGGAACACCACTCGTGAGTACCATTTTGTGAGGGTGCTGGTGCAGAGGTGGGGAGAGAAGAAAGAGAAAAGATGAACACACATTTACAGAGGAAGGACTACATCTGAATGTCAGCACACACAGGCTTCTCCATGTATCAGTCACACAAGTATCCAGCAAATGCATTTATGTTACATGTAAAATCACATGCTAATGCAGAGAAAACAAACACGTAAACCAGCTACAGAATATAAATAATGGATATTTGCTACCAAACTGCTTTTAATTGAAAAAAAAAAAAAACAGCTAGATATCTACCTACAGAGGACTAGTTAAATAAATAGTGCTGTAGCATATAATAAATTCCACGCAGCAACTAAAAAGAAACAATGGACATTTATTTATATTGATATGGGAAAATGTCCAAAATATATAGTTTAAATACACAAAAAATGAGGAACAGTATATATAGTAACATGCCACTTGTGTGTGTCCACCAGCTACCTAGAAGTGTTAATATATACATAAAAGAGAACCTAAAAGTATATATATGCCAAGTCTTTGGTGGTGGTTAATAAAAGATAAGCCATGAGGAATTTTCACTTTCTCAATTTCCAGAAATTTTGCATGAGCAAGCTTCATTTTTATAATCAGAAAAAAACAAACAAAACCCTCATTTCTGGGGGAAAAAAATCCACTGCCACCAAGACACAGGCTCCATTCTGAAAGGGATTACACTGCAGCCAGGGAAGAAACTTACACATGTGACAAGGGATTGCACAAATTGATATTATAGGAAGAGAGAGGAGGAAGGATTTTAGAATACTTTTACTACAATATTGAATACTCAAAATATTTTATGGCTTTATAGTAAGACTAGGTATTAAAATGAGGTAACCAAACACGACAGAGCCAGGAGTGGCACTCACAGATTGATGCTTGCGACAAAGCCAACAACGGAGCGCATGCCTCTGCTGGGGTCGTGGTAAACATCCATCCCAATCACCATCAACTGTTTCTGGGTCAGAAAGCAAAAACAAACCGCAACATCCAAGTAATCCGTCAGCCCACCTTGAATTGCTGTCTGAACCCCAAAGCAACATATGAAAGTAAGTTCCAGGGGGGGGGGGGGGGGGAAGGGTACAACCAAACTGATGTTTTTAAACACTGTGAACAAAGTCAGAGATTGTCAAGATCAGGGATTGACAGACTGTCTATAAAGAGCTAATCAGTAAAGACCTTAGGCTTTGTGAGCCACACCGTCTCTAGGGAACTATGTAATTCTGCCACTGCAACACACAAGAAGCCACAGGTTGCAGTACATAAAGGAGTAAGGCTATGTTCCAATAAAACTGCATTTAAGGACAGTGAAATCTGAATTTCATATCATCTTTGTGTGTCTGGAGATATTAAGTCTTATGTTGATTTTTCTCATCATTCAAAAATGTGAAAGCCAGTCTAAGCTTTTGGCCTATACGAAAACAAGCAATGAACCACTCTGATTACTAGGCAATGAGAATATGGAAAACTCTGGGAGGAAAATTAGGAAAACAGCCAGGCAGGACTGTTTGGGGAGATGAACTGAATAAAGAAATATCTCAGCAGCACTCACCAGAGGAATATCCACTCCCCAGAGCTCACCACCCAATTTACAGTTAATCTGAAGTAAAATTTTCTGGGCCACACTTCGAAGCCTGGTGGGCTGACCAATGGTTCGGACATTGATGACCTGTAATAGAGGGACCAAAAGGTATGGGCAAAGAGGACACTAGCAACCTTTCAGACAATGTAAACTACTCTAAAGCAAATACTACATTTGCTCAAGAAACTCCAGCTGGCAGATAATTTACTTTGCACTAACAGTTCTAACACTAACTGGGTCTCTAGTCAGGCATGCGTGTACAAACATGTGCACACAAAACGCAAATGAAAACCAAAAAAAGCAGCCAATAAAAACTTTCAAAAATATCTCATGCAAAGTAAAAAAAAAATTAATCTCCATAGGAAAAGTCAGCTTTCCCCTTTCAAAGGGACGCCTATACTCTCAGAACCCAGTCATGTGAAACAACCCGGTGACTTGGCTCTGAACAAGCACAAGGGCTCATGTGGGAACATGAAAGCAGTATTTACAAAGAGCATCTGCTATTCGCCAGGTTACTCTAATAGAGGAAGTTTCACCAGCTAGGTCCACACACGCTGGCTTCTAAGAGTGACGTCAGTCTTTTTGAACACATTTATCCCTCTTTTCCAAGCCTTGAGGGAGGCTAGAATTTCCATCTATGCCTCCTGCCCAGCTCCCACTCACCTGTGAGGGTACAGGAGTCTGCACACAGCACAGCTTTTTAATGGCCCCATAGAGGTCGTCACGTGTTCCCATGATGATGCAAACAACCATCTGTATCTTCACCTTGAGGAGATAAAGTATATATAAATCAGGCTTTGGAACTCTGAGGGGACCCTGATAGGGTTCTAGTCAGGGGCAGTTCAAGAGTCTGGAAAGCCAGAGGACCTTTAGTGTATAGTGGGGGCTGAAACAAAGATGGTGGACATTCCAACACAGACAAAGGTCTGTGAATGGACCTTTGGGTTCACATTTGTTCGGTTCCAGGCTTCTTTGCTTAGTTATATAACATGCTATGTCAAATTATCTACAGCTGATCCTGATTACCTGACTTATTCATTAGGAGACTTAAGATGCCTGCAAAAGACCAGACTTAAAAATATGAAAGGGTTTCTTATTAGTTGATGTTTCTAATTCCCGACAATTTTTTTTTTTTTGCCACTCTCTTTAGTTAAACTAAGTGTATTATGACATTAATGCCACAGAACTTTAACTAGGAAATAGGGAACATAATACCAGAAGAAAGGATTCAGAGTCAAATGCAGAGGAAATGAAGTCACTGCCAAATCCATAAGAAGATCTTCCTAACTCTCTGATTAGGAGAGAGAAAAATACTGCCAGCAGATTATCTTATATCAGTATCTTCTACCTCTCACTACTTAAGAGATCTGATACTAAAACAAAGGATCTGACATCCCTGGCGGTCCAGTGGTTAAGATTCCACGCTTCCACTACAGGGGGCTTGGGTTTGACCCCTGGCTGGGGAACTAAGGTACCACATGCCGTGCAGTGTGGTTAAAAAAATTGAAAAAAATTAAAGTAAGAGAGGAAAAAAAGAGACTCTTTCAAAATCTGAATAAAGGAAAGCAGCACAGAAGTAAAATAAATTTGCCAACCTTTTATGCCAGAATCAGAAATCAATAGTATACTATTCCAAACCAGATTAGTTTTAAATTAAGATCTTTCAGAGGAAACACATTCCAGCAATCATATCAAAGAACTTCCAAAGTCACAGAGAACAAGGGCTGTACACTGTGAGCCTGTGGGCTGGATCTAAGAAACGGATGTGGTTTTTTAGTCTCATTTATAATGAGTCACAAGTCTTTTTTACATTAACATTTAAACATAGGTAGATACACACAAGTGCAAATCTAGATTTTTGGCTTCTATTGAAAAACAAATTAAAAATAAATTTGACAATGCTAGGCTGTTATCTGCAGTCATGGGGTTTACTCTCTTTATTCACTAGAGTCCCCTCCTGGCTCACTTCACTCCGGTAGACATCTGAGTTTATGACCCTGAAACAAAGAGAAAAATGAAACAGAATGCCCTAAAGATGACAGATAGTAAGACTAATATGAGCAAGTAAGACCAAGTTACATTAGGAATGTAACTCATATCCATGTCAATATCCATGAAGATTGTTGGCAGTGTACTCTCATAAAAGGAACATGCCAAGTCATGAGATGGGGGAGCTGAGGTGCTAAGGTGGACTTTTCTTCTGAAAGCAAGGCCGATTTATCAGGCCCAGGGAAGGCCCCTGCAGAGTAAGCAGCATGGGAAGTCAGCAAGAAAATATAAAGAAAGGGAAAACAGGAGTGTGCTGCTACAGACGATACACCCAGAGGGGTGGATCAAGAGAAAGTCATGATGCAAACATAGCCTAATTCTAGTACTGATCTCACATGAACTGACTCTTCAAGGACCAGTTATCTCCAAAATTTTTTGCCTGCTTTTGCTCCCTCCTTAATCTTCTTCCTTTGCTTTATGCACAGATAAGAACTGTAGGCCTGAACTACAAGCTGTGAATACTTCGGCTTGCTCAGCTCTAGTGGTGCCACTCGGCCATCAGGAACAAGCCCCTGCCAAGTTCATCACCCGAGCAATTTGGATCTTAAGCCAGACCAGACTGTGACAGCTCAGCACTGAATCGTGCAAGATGGCACCTGGCCCAGGAAACTGCTTTCTGTGCACAACCTGTGCTATAAAGATAACACACCGAAGTCAAGTCAGCTGTTCTCTCGGTCGATGACACGAGAACAAACAGGACACTAGAGAGAGCGCCAACACAGGACGGAAGCAAGCCCAGCCGAAGGGACGAAGACGACCGTAAACTCTGTGCTCCACGTGCTTGCGAGTGAGACGCAGGCTCCTGGACACCATTGACAGCAGGCCAGCGACCACGGCGAGATAAAATCAAGTACTCAAGTATTTCAAAATGGGCGTCCAGAAACTTGACTCAAGTTAAGTTATACCTCAACCCCCAGCATGGACTGAATGGTTCTGACATAGGTCTCTATGCGGTCATCCTTCAGTTCCACCCAGGCTGGTGGGCTCACACGCATGCCCATGGGGCCAGCTATCTTCTCCAACATGTTCACCAGCTCTCGGGCTTGATCCATTGCTCTCTTTGGGTAAAACAGTGCCCAGAAATGCATGGGGACCTAGGAACAACCACAAGCTATTGTTTAGTACTTCCCATGACATCTCCGACACTCCAACATCATTTCAGGAGATGTTACTCCAAAGAACAAACTGCTTTTCACTCTTTCTGCTTCAGTCCTGTCTCATCTAATGCCAACTACTAATGCAGATGTGTGTGATAAGTACACTGTGGCAGGCTCACAATGGAATACTATGCAGCAATGAGAATGGAAGCTCTGTAACTACACTTAATGATATGGAGAAATTCATCAAGCAAGGTTGAAGAAAGGAAGGCAGATATGGAAGAATATATAAAGTATGGTTCCATGTGTATGTTATGTACAAACACAGCTTTAAAAATTTCAATGCTGTTAGAGGTCAGAACAGTGGCCATTTTGGGACTATGTCAGGGTGACAAGTAGTAGTAATTAGGATCATGGAGGGAAGCTTCCGGGGCACTGGTAAAGTTCTGCCTCTTAACCCTCAGTATTGATTACTCGATTTGTGAAAATTAATCAAAACTATATATATCATTGGAAGGACTGATGCTGAAGCTGAAACTCCAATACTTTGGCCACCTCATGCAAAGAGTTGACTCACTGGAAAAGACCCTGATGCTGGGAGGGATTGGGGGCAGGAGGAGAAGCGGACGACAGAGGATGAGATGGCTGGATGGCATCACCGACTCGATGGACATAAGATTGAATAAACTCCGGGAGTTGGTGATGGACAGGGAGGCCTGGCATGCTCCGATTCATGGGGTCGCAAAGAGTCGGACAAGACTGAGCAACTGAACTGAACTGATATACAGAAGTGTACCTTTTATTTAAATATATTGCCAAAAAACATTTTTGAAACAAAGTATGTATACTTTATGCATGGCCATAGCAACCAGGTTAGCAAAAAAGATTTAAAAATAATTATATACCATCTTTTTCTTTAGTTGCCTTGGTGGGAAACTGTTTTAATTTTACTTCTTTCATGGAAACTGTAGGGGAAAAGAGGAAAGAAAGAGAAAGGAAGAAGGAAGAACAAAGAGCAGTTGGCAATAGGCTGGCACTGTATGAATTACCATAGCAATTTATTTCTTTGTCCTGAATCTATGGTCAAGCAAAGGGCTTACCTCTAACAACTCATCAACTTGCTCTTGTTTGAAAGACCTTAGTTTAGTAAGTAATTCCATGGGAATTCAGTTGGTACTTCCTCTCAAAAAGAGGACACTAAATAATTTCTGATTCCTTACACTTCTAGGAATAGTGACCCTCTCTTTACCACCTCACAAATCACTTACAGTCAAGATGGAAAGGTCTCTGGTTACTTCCTTAATCCAGTTTAGTTCTGGGGATGTGATAAATGACGTATTTCTTAAGTTAATTCTTTCCATTGGCAGAACACGTCCTTCAATCTAAACAGAAAATAAAGCACCTATGACATGAACCATCTGCAAACATTAGTTAGAAAAATGTTCAGAGGCCTGGTCTACTCTACTATATACACCTCTTCCTGTCATAACTTCTGAAAATAGTAGAAAAATGCAACTGTTAGCAGTTAAGAATCCATGTCAATAAAACTCTGAACACACACAGTTTTAATAGGCACTGCCTTTTAATTACTGAAGCTCCCAACATGGTCCCCAAGAAAGGGATCAGAAAACATTGTGTTTTTAGAACCATAGAAGGAAGGTAAAATGCCTATAAATTCAAGGTGAACAGGAAAATAATATTTAGAAAAATTTAAGTAGAAAATTAAAGAGAAAATGACATAATAAGACTGAGCATAAGCTACTATTAAACTTTATACAAAAGAAAAACAGGAAAAAAAATTCATATAATGAAAGACCAAATTAAAGTGAAGAATAATAAATAAATCAGATCTAAATATCCAAAAGTAACAGGGTAACTAAATTGATGATATATCTATACGATGGATATTTTGTGACCATTAAATCACTTTCTAAGTGCACTTTTTTTTCCTGTTTTTGCAAAAAATAAACAGCAATGTATACATTATAAAAACTGAATTGAAGAATGAGTCAAGAAGATCCCCTGGAAAAAGAAATGGCAACCCACTCCAGTATTCTTGCAGGGAAATACCATGGACAGAGGAGACTGGGGAGCTACAGTCCACGGGTTCACAAAAGAGTCGGACACAACTTAGTGACCAAACGGCAAAGGAGTCAGACTCATCTTTGCTTACGAAAGTAAAAAACTGCTGAAACTGGCAAAATAACAAAAAATACTGGAAACATAAATACATATGTCCACTGACCTAGCAGTTTCCCTTCCATAAATCTGTGAAAATAAACATCATGTGCAAAGATATAATTATAAGGATGTTCACAGATTCATTTTCATAGGAAAATGCTAAATTCAATTTGAATGTAAAAGAATAAGAAATTAGTAAAATGAATTATCTGTTATCCATTAAAATATTCAGAAAAATATTAAATGAAAAAACATTACAAATAAACTGAATAAAAAAAGAGGAAACCACTTAAATACATACCACATGTGAGTTATGTGCGTGTACACACACACAGACCAAAAACACTAAAGGTTATATACCAAAATGTTAACAGTGGTTACAGGTATTCTGATATAGCATGACTATGGATAAACATTTTTCTTCTTTGGTTTAAGTTCTCTACATCTTCATATAATATTTAATAACATGAACACATGTTCAAGATACAATAATACATGAAAAAGAAGACACAAAACCATATATAGTATAAGTACAATTTTATAAGAAAAGATTCACACTTACAGGAAAAAAATTTATGGAAACAAAATATAATGAAAAGAATACTGTCTTTTTAATGTGCCTAAAATAAATCACTAAGATATTATCTTTGGGTGATGAAACTATTGATGTTTTTATTTTCTTCTTTACATTTTCTATATCCACATTTTTCTTATTGACTTTCCACTACTTTTGTTAAAAAAAAAAAAGAAAAACAATTTAGGGACTTCCTTGGTGGTCCAATGGTTAAGAATCTGCCTGGCAATGCAAGGGACAGTGGTTTGATCCCTGGTCTGGGAAGATCCCACATGCTTGGGGATACCTAAGCCTGGGCACCCCAAACAGCGAGCCCATGTGCTCCAAGTACTGAAGCCTGCATGCTCTAGAGCCCATGCCCTGCAACAAGAGAAGCCACTGTCAGGAGGAGCCTGCGCAGCAGGACAGAGAGTGGCCCCCGCTCGCTGCAACCAGACAAAGCCTGCGCACAGCCACAAAGATCCACCACAGCCAAAAATAAAATAAATATTAAAAAAAAATTTTTTAACAAGGAGTCAATTCAGAGTGAAAGAGAACAAAAGATAGAATTAATTATTAGTATTTTAGGTATAACCTAGAGAGAAAAGTAAAAAAGCAATAAAAGCTAGTATTTACTGAACATGTGCTACGTGTCAAATATTATGCTAACGATTTTACCATGTAATTGTTAACTTAATATCATCTTTGGGTAACAGATACAGAAACGATGAGATTGTAAGCAGTTTATTCCCAGTAACCACCAAGGCAAGAAGAGGCAGGACCGAGGCTCACAGTCAAGGCCCCCACCTCGCGCTGCCCCCGCACCATGTCTCCTGCTGCATCGATGCGATGGAGCGGGCTCAGACGATCCGCGGGCAGAGGGGGCCATGTGAAAACCAAAGTGCACAGGTCCGAGACTTCATGCAACGGAAACAACAACGGTGCTGTATTCAAAGAAACGCAGTTTAATCACTGGCGAAGAAAACCTCGCAATGGGGGGAGAAAAAGACTTTAAGAATAATTTGGGCTGGAAAACTAAAAATGAGGTAAATTTTGAGGATCAATATTCTTTTTGCTTGACTGGAAATTAACAACTCAGATCTCAGGAAATACAGAGGAAAATCTGTAAGAGCTAATAGCAAATTAAGTCAAGAAAATTCAAATACTGTGACTAGGACCAAATAAAAAGTCTAATAATTAAGCAAAAACTGTAAAAGACAAGATATAGGAAGTTATCACCTAGTCTCAGAAAGCTCTAAATTCTTCGTTAATGCTATTTCCTACCATCACATCGTCCAGTTTACCTTATGTACGTCATTCTGCAGATAGAGTCCCCAACGTGTCAGTTCACTGTTAGCTGTCTCATTTTTCGAAATTCTCTGTAGCAAGCATTCCAAAGCACTATGGTGCTGTCTGGGGCTCAGGTTGATCTGCTGGCTCAAATCCTGAACAGAATCAAAATGGAGACACTAAGCTATTACTTCTCCAGTATGAGATTAAAGAAACCCCAATGTAGAAAACATTTCCACAGAAACACCTTTTTCTCACTGAAATCTGTAGAAATTTTAAAGTGTCTCCAAGGACTTTATTATAATAGCTCATGAAAGTGAATGAAGTATAAGGTTAAAATTTTAGCCATAAAAGTAAGAATTTTTTTAATTGAAGTATAGTCGATTTACAATGTTAATTTCTGCTGTAGAGCAAAGTGATTCAGTTACACATATACATACACATAAATACTTAAAGTAAGTATTTAAAATTGTCACTGTTTCTTTCTCATGACATCCAAATCTTATTCTCTTTCTCAAAGCCATATAAGGGGACTTGACTATACCTATTTAACATTGGGGCAGGAAAATGCCCTATGCCAGGCACGCAGGCAAACATAAAATACATCTAGTCTTATACTTTATGTCATATGATACTAGTCACTTAATGTCACTATAAAACACTTGTTTGGTCCAGGGTGTGACCCATAATAGGTGTTTTCTAAATATTTATTGTTGAATGAACATCTAATGAGATGAAGATTCAGAATCATGTAAGTGAGGTCTTTCTTTAGCTTCTGGAACTAATGAACTGCGTGGCACTCATTAGGGCAGTGAGTCTATGGGGCTATACAGATAGCTCTGTGATCATAAAGTCATTAACTGGGAGTTGTAAGGAGGAGCCTTGACCTACATACTGAAAGCAGAAGTATCAGAAGGTAAACATGAAAGAACTCTTATAGGAATTCACTTTAGCTCTTTACGATGTTACTAAAAACCATTCATGGCATCTGAGACAAGCCCAGGGGTCCAAAACTGGGACAGACAAGGACTGAGACAGAGGCAGCAGGGCAGCATGCAGGTGGAAAGACCCAAGCAGACAGTGTGGAAGTGGAGCCCTCAGGGTCTGGACCCATGCTGCTGCACACACCTCTGACTCCCAGCTACTTCCAGAACACTGTGCCCTACATGAGACCTCCAGGACACCCAAGCACCACAGCACGAACTTCTATCCTCTAACTGCTTCCTCCAACTTGCTGACTTTTTGCTACATTATCTCCTCCATCCCTTCAAATAAACTGAAGGCTTACAGAATACATTAGAAAAATTCAGTGCTCTCAGAGAACGTCATTTGTGGTCACATGAACAGCCTACAGTCATGGATCAGATTGGTGAGGGTGATGTTAGAACTATTTGTATCCTTTTACCTTATAATCCAGTTGTTCTACTACAACAACAACATTCCAAAGAAAGCTCTGACAGGCTCTTTCACAGTGTGTGGGAAGAGACACAGATCACGCTTATGGAGAGGAAAAATGAACCTGCCCAGGTGATGATGCAAATCTGGCCCAATGCAACCCATATCTCTACCAAAATGGTCTTCGGTTCAAAGCAGGCCCTTCTCACCTTCATGGCTCTGAAGTCCTTCTTCATCTTCTCAGGGATTCCAGTCATGAAGGAAAGCTCAGGGAGCAGCAGGATTTCACTTTTTAGCAACTTGGAGGAGAGAACAGAGGGAAAGCAAGGCAGTCAAAGAACATCCTGTTCCTCTGACTGGTATAAGATTTTGGCAGGCTCAAACTGGTCCTGCAGGGGTATAACAGGCACTCTTAGGAACACAAGACCCCAGAGAAGAGGGCAGGAAACACAACCAGTGTTTTATCCTTTTCTCGCTTGGGTTACAATTGGCTGTTGCACTAGGTAAAGAGAAAAATATTCAAACTGTCAAAAGCAGAGGGAAAACTAGAAAAACTAAAACTACTTTTCCACTTGGGCCTCCAAGTAAGTAGGTGTATATCACACAATATATCCTATCAAGCTAGTGCCTCTGTCTCATCTTAACCTATTTTGATCTTCAGTCTCCACTCTGAAGACAGAGGAATTAGGTGTCAAGGTACTTTTCCCTGGTCCCTAACCCTGTTAAAATGTCTCCAGCTTCCCTAATGGACCCGGTGTTTCAATCTTCTTTAGCAATCAATTCTCCTAATTCCTTAACCTAACTCATTCTTTGGATGTTTAGTTCCTCACTAAGGGGACTTCAAGAGTACCTCTGGCTATAGGAGACAGACAAAGAATGCACAGCTTCCCTAACCACACTGTGATCACGCCTCATGGCTCCCAGCAGCTGATGGGCAGAGAATCTGGCAGGCAGCACCAGCCTGACACACACCAGCAGCAGCACTCACCACCCCTTGGCTGTTCTGTCTCTCACTGGGCCTGTGGATCAGCAGCGGCTGGTCCTCTTCCTTTACTGTGATCCCATAGTTTTTGCTAGAGCAGAACAGAGGCAGGAAAAAATTGTCAGCAGCACCACTCTTACTGCAACACAGTCTGAGGATTAACCAGGACTGAGGTATACAATTTGTATTATACCCTTGTCAAAGATCCATCAGAAACTCTGACCAGACTACATTCATAACTGGAAAAAGCAGGCTCAAGTTAATGTTGCAATTAAATAGAGAGGAAACAGGATTAACAGCCCAGGAAAGAAATTCTTTAAAAACTGAATCAGGCCAACAAACAAAAAAATCAAAATAAAAAACTGCATCAGGCCGAAGGGCTTAGGTAACTAGAAAGGCAAAATGACAGTCAAATGATTAATGACTTGAATTTAATCTCTCCAACCAGACTTCAAACAGAAAAGGAAACATAATTTTGAAGCCCTGAGATTAATTTATGAAATAACTTACAAAAAGTACTAAAGGAAATAAAACTGTAAGGGTAGCAAATTCAGGTCAAATCCCACAAACAAACTCGTCAATCTTGGGCATATTACCAATCCAATTACTTTTGACATGTCCTGCTACATGCCACTCTTACTGGAGAACGACAGACTATGCCCCAACCCGCAGACCCAAGCCCAGTCTCCTTCCTCTACCTGTAGTATTCCAAGAATGTAATCTCCTTCCCATCAGACATGGTGAAGCTATCTTTTGGAGTCTTGTTCCAATCCACATCATCGATACGATAGGTGCGATTGTTGTACCGGGTTATAACAATGCTGCCCACCAGAAGCTTAGTGCACTCGTCCTGGAAGCTTTCTTTGTTCTGCAAGTACATGGTGTGCCTTGGGAAAGAGACAAAAGGCCTCTAGATCACATGGGTACACACAGAGCAACATGAAAGGGACAGGGGATGCCTGTGAGTACTTGAGGGTTCCAACTGCCAACACCTAGCACCAAAAGGCTCCAGCTGTCTCTTTTAGGAGGCAGAACTCTCATCTCTTTTAAACAATGCCACCCCAAAAGAGTGAAAAGATAATAACTAAAAAATTGATAAAATCCACTACAGTCCTAAAATAAGGTACTCTAATCATCAAAATTATCTGTATCATCATTATTAGGAGGCAGTCTACACAGAAACAACAGAACATTCTTAAAACTATATTTGCCCTCACTAGCTGAAGGAAGAAATTACAACTGTTGGAGGACCACACTCGCAAGGCAAAGAGGTGAAAAAAGGTTATCGAAGATGATCAGTGGAGGCTGAAGACAGACAGGGACCAGACACCAATTTCCTTGTGGGTCAGAGCATGGACTCTTCTGTGGGCCAGTGTCACCAGAGTATACTCCTCAGGAACACTGGTCCCTTGACAAGTCTTGAGGGGGTGAAAAAGGTTCTACAATCAAAAAAATTGAGTCCATTCTTCATAATATAACCCCTTTCTAGAGGTTCACAACATACATTACCACATCAGACTGCTACAGAAAGAGAAACATGTTGAGTTTCATTCACCTGCAATTTGCTAATAAACCCAGACTCCTCCCTGCCTTTTCCCTTTTCACTCCTTGAACAACTATCACCACTCTAGGTGATTAGCATCCTGCTGAACTTGCTGCAGTTAAGTGATGAAAAACCATCAGAAACTTGAAATAGTTCATACTGACTACAGACCCTGGAGCCAAAACCTTGGTTCAAATCTTGGCTCTGCCACTAACCAGCATATGAGACTCTGAGCAAGTTACTTAACCTTGCGCTTCAGTTTCCTTGTGTCAAAGTGGAGTCAGAACAAACTGCCTAACTCACTGTTGCTGACAGAACTCCATGACTTTATTCATGTAAAGCACTTAGAGCATAACACTGTGTTTTGAAATAAGATTAGAGATTTTATCACAGCTCATTTCATGAATTTTTGCTTCCTATTTACAAAGCTATATTCAACAATACAACTATTTTTAAAAAATATTTTTAAATCAAACTCTTCAACTATGTTAATGGCTACATAACACTACTTCACTAAGTGGAGGGTACATTAATTCACTGGTCTTTTACTTTTTAAGCAGTAGTTCTATTGTTTCACTCTTACAAATAACTGACTGAACATCTTTTACAAAGATTCTTCTATACTTAAACCTGTATCCTTGAGACAGATTTCCTATAAGTGAATACCAGACCACCTGACCTGTCTCTTGAGAAATCTGTATGCAGGTCAGGAAACAACGGTTAGAACTGGACATGGAACAACAGACTGGTTCCAAATAGGAAAAGGAATACATCATGGCTGTATATTGTCACCCTGCTTATTTAACTTATATGCAGAGTACATCATGAGAAACGCTGGGCTGGAAGAAGCACAAGCTGGAATCAAGATTGCCGGGAGAAACGTCAATAACCTCAGATATGCAGATGACACCACCCTTATGGCAGAAAGTGAAGAAGAACTAAAGAGTCTCTTGATGAAAGTGAAAGAGGAGAGTGAAAAAGTTGGCTTAAAGCTCAACATTCAGAAAACTAAGATCATGGCATCCAGTCCCATCACTTCATGGCAAACAGATGGGGAAACAGTGGAAACAGTGGCTGACTTTTTGGGGGGGGGGGCTCCAAAATCACTGCAGATGGTGACTGCAGCCATAAAATTAAAAGACACTTACTCCTTGGAAGAAAAGTTATGACCAACCTAGACAGCATATTAAAAAGCAGAGATGTTACTTTGCCAACAAAGGTCCGTTTAGTCAAGGCTATGGTTTTTCCAGTAGTCATGTAAGGATGTGAGAGTTGGAATATAAAGAAGGACAAGTGCTGAAGAATTGATGCTTTTGAACTGTGGTGTCGGAGAAGACTCTTGAGAGTCCCTTGGACATTCAACCAGTCCATCCTAAAGGAAATCAGTCCTGAGTGTTCATTGGAAGGACTGATGTTGAAGCTGAAACTCCAATACTTTGGGCACCTGATGCAAAGAACTGACTCATTTGAAAAGACCCTAATGCTGGGAAAGACTGAAGGCAGGAGGAGAAGGGGACAACAGAGGATGAGATGGTTGGATGGCATCACCGACTCAATGGACGTGAGTTTGAGTAAACTCCAGGAAACTGGTGATGGACAGGGAGGCCTGGCGTACTGTGCTCCATGGGGAGGTGATGAGTTGGACACGACTGAGCAACTGAACTGAACTGAAAAACCAGGGAATTACTCACTTAGAAGGGGCTAATTTTATGGCACATTAATTATACCTCAATAATAAAAACTGAAATTTAAAAAAAGGCTTCTCATTATGGCAGTATGAAGATGTCAGCAATTCTTTTCTATTAACATGCTGCTGCTGCTTAGTCACTTCAGTCATGTCCGACTCTGTGTGACCCTATGGACTGTAGCCCGCCAGGCTCCTCTCTCCATGGAGATTCTCCAGGCAAGACTACTGGAGTGGGTTGCCATGCCCTTCTCCAGGGGATTATCCCAACCCAGGGATCAAACCTGGGTAGCCTGCATTCCAGGCAGATTCTTTATCATCTGTGCCACCAGGAAAGCCCTTCTATTATTAAAAATACGTTCAGACAACTAACAGAAAATATGATGACAAATCCACAAATAGGGAATAGTCTCAATAGAGAAATAGAAACTGTAAAATAAATAGCACAAAAAAGGAGAAAGAAGAGAGCAAGGGAGAGAGAAGGGGAAGAGAGAGGAAGGGAGGGAGGGGAGAGGGGAGAAGGAACTGTAGAGTTGCAAACAACAATGAAAATGAAACACTGATTAAGATGAACTCACAAGCAGATCTGAGATGGCAGGATAATAGCCTATAACATAGAGTAACAGAAACTGCTCAATGCAAAGAAGACAGAGAAAGATATTAAACACAAATGACACAAAATCCTGTGAGAGAATATCAAGATCCCAACCTAGAAATGAGAGTGCCAGAAGGAGGACAAGAGAGTAAAAACATTAAATATTAAATATTAAACAGTAAATATTAAAAGACACAGCAGTCTAAAATTTCCCAAATTTGATGAAAATCGTTAACTGATAAATCCATAGCTTCAATGAATGTCCAGTATGATAAACACAGTAAGTGCCACCCCTACACATGGACAAACCCAAAGCCAAAAGAGAACATCTTGACAACAGTAAGAGCAAAGTGATGCATCACATACAGGAGAACAACAATATAGTTAAAAACCTACTTTTCATGCCAAACTATGGAGACCAGAAGGCAGTGTAATGACATATTCAAAGGGCAGAAAACTAGCAAGAAAACTGTATCCTGGGAAACCATTTTTCTTTTTCTTTTTAGCCGCGCCTCACAGCTTCTGGGATTTTAGTTCCCCAACCAGGGATCAAACCTGGGCCCTTGGCAGTGACAGAATGGAGTTCTAAACACTGGAATAGCAGGGAATTTCTAACACTGCTTTTCAAAAGTGAAAATGAAGAAACAAGTCACAAAGGACCATACACTGCATGATTCCATATATATATGAAATGTCCAGGACAGGTAAATCTATAGACACATAAAGTAGGTTAGTGGTTGCCTAGAACTAGGGAGGGGAATTTGACAGGGGGTAGGGTGGGTAATGGATAAGGGGTGAAGGGTTTCTTTTGATTGTAATGGAAATGTTCTAAAATTGACTGTAGTGATGGGTGCATAATGAATATACTAAAAGCCATTAATGTTATCTTTTAAACAAGTGAACTGTATGGTATACAGTTAAATCTCAATAAAGCTGATTTTAAAAAATGAAAGATAAAATCATTCCCAGGTAAATAAAAACTAAGAGATCATGTTCCTGGAAGACTCTGCTCTATAGGAAATACTAAAAGATAAATCTTTTATCCTTCAGCATAAGAAAACAATACCAGATGGCAACTTGGAGCCATAGGAAGGAAGAATGTTGGCAATGATCTATATGGAGGTAAATATAAAGTGATTATATGAATATAGTTTTTCTTCATGTCTTAAAAAAATTGTAATGTTGTTTATTGTAAGACTGTTTAAAGCAATAACTAAAAGATTGTACTGCTGAGTTTATAACATATATCCAGTTTGTGTCTCTGGGTATTTATTCATAAAGAGGAGAGAAATATGGAACTATGCTGGAGCAAAATTTCTATATTTTACTGGAATTAAGTATGGATTAATGTAAAATAGACTGTGATATGTGAAAGATACTGAAATACGTAGAACACACACACACAGACACACACACAATTGACAGAGGAACTTAAATGGTACACTAAAAAATATTTAGCACAAAAGAAGGCAGTAAAGAAAAAATGGAGGGGAAAGAAAAAGACCTGAGACATACAGAAAACAAACAGCAAATGGCAGACATATAGCCAACAATATAAATACTAAGACTTAATATAAATGTATTAAACAGGCCAATCCAAAAGCAGATTGTCAGACTGGGTAAAAAAAATAAAAACCAAAATCTAGATATATGCTGTTTACAAGATATACATTTTATTAATAATCAGACATAAACAGGTTGAAAATAGAAGAACAGAAAATACATACCAAACAGTAACCATAAAAAAGCTAGATTGGCTACACTAACATCAGACAAAATAGACTTTAAGGTGATATTTACTAGAGATGAAAAGGCACTTTTCACAATGGTAAGAGTTAATTCATCAGTAAGATACAGTGATTATAAATATGTACATTTATTGTAAGTATAGATGTATGTGTAGCCAAAGGCAAATATCTGAAGAAAAAATTGACAAGGTTTAAAGGATTAAACTTGAAAAGATTTCAATATTCCTGTCTTTGATATCACAAATAGAAAATTAGGAGAGATACAGAAGACTTGAACAACATTAGTAAACCAACTGAACTGAGTACATAAAACAGTC